AAATTCTGTGTGTGTGTGTTTTTTACTTTGAACTTTACCGACAGATTTATTGAATGAAGATTCATAGCAATAGCTTTTGATGTTGTTCTTTGTTTTTACTTTATCTTTCATCTTTTACACGTGAACATAATCATCATTCTTATGTGCATACTCGAGTGATGATTTTTTGATATTTTGTATTAAAATATGTTTTTTGAAAATTCTTGAATGAATGAATGTTTTGATTCCCGTTTTGATAGCTATCAATTTTAAGAAATTTTGGAGGTGTAGCTTTATTCCTGTAAATTCAACTAAGTGATATTAAATTACGTCTGTAAATATTCCACTGAATTTCTGCAACATTTTCTCATTCTTCCTCTAAAATGCAAATAACAGAAAAGAACAAACCATGCGACAATTAAGAGATAGCTATGTTTAAAAAATGCCACAACGAACATAACCATACAACAGAATTGTCATAAATACAACCTAAAAGCATTTTATTGTTTTGCTCCCTCAAGTGCAGAATTTTTTTCCCATTTTTATTTCGCTCTTTTTTAACAAAAATTAAATAAACATTTTTTACATCACACAGAAAGCAGCAAATTTTTACTGGAAATAACAACAATTTTCATCTTTCATGTCTGCCTCTCTTCTCTTAATTTTCTCACTTTGTGTTTTTCATTCGTGTGCATTTTTAGAGACATTAGGGGAATGTCACTAAATATCATGAACATCAGAGACATGCAAATTCCTTTAATAAATGGAATTTTTATTCGTAAAATCTGGCATGAAGATAAATTAGTTCTACTGAATTGTAATGTTTGGAAGTCATTAACGTTGCATGAAATTTTTAACTCTTCATCATGCTAAAGGTTGACTCAATTTCAATTCAACTTTACTTCAACTTGACTTGACTTTAATTTGACTCGATTTGATTTCAACTTTACTCGACAACAACTTGAATTGAGTTAAACTTTACATGACTTCGACTTGAATTCAACTTGACTCCAACTTCACTTGACCCCAACTTGAATTGACTTAAACTTTACATGACTTCGACTTGACTTCAACCTGAATTGACTTAAACTTGATTTAACTTCAACTTCACTTGATCTCAACTTGAATTGAATTAAACTTGATTTAACTTCAGATTCACTTGAACCCTACTTGAATTGACTTAAACTTGACATGACTTCGACTTGAATTCAACTTGACTCCAACTTTACTTGACTTCATTTTACTTAAACTTCACTTGACCCCAACTTGAATTGACTTAAACTTTACATGACTTCGACTTGACTTCAACCTGAATTGACTTAAACTTGATTTAACTTCAACTTCACTTGACCCCAACTTGAATTGACTTAAACTTGACATGACTTTCACTTGACTTCAACCTGAATTGACTTAAACTTGATTTAACTTCAACTTCACTTGAACCCAACTTGAATTGACTTAAACTTGACATGACTTCGACTTGAATTCAACTTGACTCCAACTTTACTTGACTTAATTTGACTTAAACTTCACTTGACCCCAACTTGAATTGACTTAAACTTGACATGACTTCGACTTGACTTCAACCTGAATTGACTTAAACTTGATTTAACTTCAACTTCACTTGACCCCAACTTGAATTGACTTAAACTTTACATGACTTCGACTTGACTTCATCAAAGAGAACCCCTGAGAATCAGCCCCTGGCTACACCCATGCATAAAATAATCTCTAATTTGAAAAATTTTGACAATTTATATTTTTCTGATCAATTCCTGTTGCCCACAATAAAAATTTATTAAAGACAAGTCAAATTTATAAAGGTCTCAACATCATTCAGAGTAATGGAAAATTGAATCAATGTCACGTTAATAAAAATAAAAGATAAAACTCAAAAGAGAAGGAAAATAAATAAATCCTTGAAGGCAAAAGGCTGCGATGATTCCTTTTATTATTCACAAAGGACTTCCTTTTCCATTCCTTCCTTTTTTCATATCATAGTCTCTTGCTTTATCTTTGTGCCATTTTTTTCCTTCCTTCCTTCCTTTCATTCATAAATTCGCAATCCCATCCGGTTTGCTATCAACAACAATAATTAAACTTTTTACTCTATTCAATTTCTCGGCCCATCTTCATGTGCGTGCGTGTGTGTATGTGCCACATAATGAAACAAAAGGTTAAAGAAATTTCCTTGCGTGCTGCCAGCAAACAATGAAAACTTTTTTTTAAAGAAATCCTTTTTAAAAATTGTTAAGCCACAAAATTGTTTGCATAGAAAAAAATAGTTCACGAATAATTGGATTTTATGCATTTTTATACATTGTTGAACAGAGTTTCTCAAACTACTTCAGCAATAAGGGGATTTAAAATTATTGGTATGGACTAAGAATTTTCAGACGGTTTAGGCTTGGCTTGGCAAAAAATTGGGGAAATTTTTGACTCCTGCTCTTATTTTAGTCCCTGACACAAAGTTTGCGAACCACTGTAGAATCTCTGTTGTTGCTTGTTTTGTGTGCTAAATTCCTTTTTACTTTTGTTGTGTGCTGCAAAACACATAAAATGTTTAACACATAAATGCCTTCATTCATCTATATTCATTCAATTTTATTTGTTCGTGAATGAAAAATATAAGCATACATTACATTACATTAAACATACACATATATTGAAAGTTGAATATAATGAAACAGGATATGTATGCATGACAAGGCGAATGGCGGTAAGATTGTTAAGTTACATGTAGACACGAGGAAATGGAAAAGCGTGTTGGCAGCCTTTTGATAACCTTCACATGATATGATGTCAATTTTTTCCCTCCTTTTTCCAAAAAAAGGAACTGCTTGAAATACTTCCATTTCCTCAGTAAAAAAAATTATCCTAAGTTTCCTATGTAAAGTCACATCGACAGTTGTGCGAAGATACTACCAAAAAATTAATACCAACATTCTGCCAAGTTTCATAGCAACTATTGGAAGCAAATTCGTAAAAGTATATAACTAGAAACTGTAAGAACGTGGGTTTGATTCCCACTCGAAACAAGTTAATGTAAAATTTCCTTGTGTGAATCCTAAGTTCTCAAAGTATTACAACTCACAGCCTTATGGCTACATACATTTAATACCATAACTCAATTCAAAGAACAAGAAACGGAAGAAGACAACTAAAAGTCAATTTTTGTTCATAATTTGGTATCGATTTTCTTTACACAAAAAAGATTTCAGTGTGTGCACCTTTCACACCCCAAGTGAATTAAGGATAAAGCAAAATAAGTGAATTAAAGTAAAAAGCTATGGAATATTTTTACGTATTTAAGCGACTCTAATGATGTTAATCAATATTTCAACACTACCTCAGTTGATTTTAATGGCTGATGACATTAATTACCTTCTTATCGTAATTTTCTACACTTTATAGAAGCCATGGAAATACTTAATGCGAGGCATTTGATATTTGTGTCGATAAAATGTCAAGGTTATTTATGTTGGACCGTTAATTTAGGGGGGAAAATTTTGAGGGTAAATTAAGTAAGACATAAATCATATTTCTTACTCTGCGTTAATCGAAGGACTAACGACAATGAGTGTAAACTTTGCGTGGACATAAAGATGTTCTACTTAGACCTCAGAGTTTGTGGAATAATTATTTTATTTAAGAGTATTTGTAAGAAAATTGAACAAACCAAATGAGTTTGGTGTCTGAGCATCGTAGAATCAGGAATTTCGAATCATATAAAGTAACTGAATATATAATCTGCTAATAATAAATCGAGGCCTCTATGGTCAAGTGGATAGACAACTGATCATTTATCTATCACTATTTTGAGAGTGATTGGGTTCAATTCCTACTAGAGACTAGCCTTTAAATTCACATTGGTGAAAATGCAGTATTATTAGTCACATTCTAATGACAATATGGGTAAGAACATGAACTAAGAACACCTAAATTACAATCCTCAATCTTAGGTACATAAATATTTATACAGCATTTCTTAAAATTTCTCACAACATTTCTATCATGATTTTTCTATTATATCAATCACCATTGACTTTTTGACATCTACCTAAAGTGCTCTCATCCGAACGAAAATGTCGGTCCATACAAAAATTTGTGACACAAAAAGTAAATAAAAGCAGAAGCCAATAAAAAATGCATCAATTTCTTATGAAAATATTTTTATTGTCGAGAGATTTTTTTTTGGTTTTGTGACAGTTGCAATTGAAGTTAGTCATCCAGCCATGTGCACATCATTTTTCATTTTCTCTTTTTCGGAATTAAAAAAATTCTAAAATTCTTTCTATACACATGTATGAAAATACCAAAGAACAACATTGAGAACTTCCAATGAATACACATCTGCAAAATAAACCTGTCAGTTTTTGTTTTGTGCACTAAATTGAATTTGCTTTTAATCCTGTATGTTTAAAATCTATTTAAGGTTTGAGAAATATTTCAAAAATCTCATTTAAATTGTCTGCAAAAAAAAAGTAAAAAGGAAAGGAAATTGGATTAAGGTATGCAGGTCAAAAGTCTTATCTGTAAAAAAAGCAATAGTCTCGCTTACAAAAGTGAGCAGTGAATGAAATTATACAAAAGTAAATAAATATAGTTTTTTTGTTGTTTTAATCTGCCTTTTTGTACTGCATCTTAAAGATATTTTTCATCACTTCAAAGTAAATTTTTTGCTTAGTTTTAATCCTCAGCAAGACTAGAGGTAAAAATAGTAAAATCATAAATGTCCGAAATTCCTTCTGACCTTTTTTAAAAATTGGAAGAAATGAAAAAAGGTAAAGAAGTAATCATAAAAGACAAATAAAACCAATTTAAGGAAGCTATGGATGGATATCCTTTCTTCATCTTATAATCTTGAGGATAGTTCATAAATTGTACACTTGAAAAAAATATAAAAAAAAAATTTTTGAAACAATTTTGGAATTTTTTCTTGAATTTTCAAATTTTTTTCAAAATTTTAAAATCTTTTTAAAAAATTTTTTCATTGATTTTCGAAAAAAAATCTTTTGAGTGCGCAATATGTTGGCAACATCAGCATTAAAAAATTTAGCCTAGTCAAAAAACAAACAGAAATCTGTAGTAAAAGGTGCAGATTGATACAAATTGGAAGCAGGTACAAAAAAAATACTTGTTGATTTTGATAAGTTAAATTAATGATTTTATGAACTTTTATTTTCTGCTTTTAAAATTCTAACATATTTCATATCCTCGTCCGTCATTTCCTTGTCACCTAAAACAAAAAATTATTATAAACTTCAAGTTCGCATTAAAAAAGTTTAAAAATAATTTACCGAATCCCCAGAAATGTTCTGTATCTCTAATTTCTGTACTCATATTATTGCCTGTGCTCTTTTCAGCCAACTCTTTTGAGTATGGATGGCTTCCATCACCAGTTCTCAATACACGTCTTCTGACAATATCATCAGGTACGGTTTTGAGTTCAGTTGCCCATCCTAACCATGCAAAGAAATCAATAAATGCTGTTGAAATATTCCAACGATATCCAGCTAATTCAGCGGTTTTGTAATCCCATGGGAAGACATGATGATAATTATGCCAGCCTAAAACATAAATAAATTGTGGTTTTGTGATATGTTTAAAAAAAAATTGAAATTTAATCCTAAAGACTTTACCTTCGCCCAATGCAACGAATCCAACAAAACGTGAGTCTGTTGGTGATATGTTTTTATCGTAAGGCTTCATTCCCCACAAGTGTGCTACTGAATTAACACACCATACACAATTCAACAATAAAACCCAACGGAAGACATTTCCGTGCCATACAATATACGCTGGCTCACCCATATAAACCAAGATGCCAGTTGGAATCACCAAATTAAGAATAAATGCTATTAAATGATAATACTTTCGTTGGAATCTCAACATGGGATCACATTCCAAATCACTCATATCAATCTTTCGGCCTTGTCTGATTACTTCTGGATGTTTCTTACATAACAGCCATCCAATATGAGAAAAGAAAAATCCACGACGACTATTGTATGGATCAGCATCTGTGTCTGTAAATTTATGATGAACTCGATGATCACGTGCCCAATTAAGAATAGGCTCTTGTGCACATGCAGTTTGTAAAAATATTAGAATCCATCTTAATGCTTTGTTAGCCTTGAATGCTTTATGTGTAAAATATCTATGAGCAGCGACTGTTGTACCAAAACCAGCAAAAACTGTATAAATGAAGCAGCTTATAAATGATGACCACTTCCATGGCAACACCATCCCATACAGTGCTGCCGCATGTAAATATGTAAATAAAACTACGTTTAACCATTTGATTTGAACCTTATATTCTTCAGCTGGCTTATCGGGTTCTAGAATAAAATATAATAGATTAATTCAATAAATATGGATAGACTTCTGACTGGTTTTGTAAAAATAATATTACACAAAAAATATGGAAAGTTGTGGCACACGTGTTGTAATATTTGACGATGTAAAGCTATCTCCGCTGTGGACACATCACAAACATTTAAGCGAGAAAAACTACTCGCGGAAGTAAAAAAGTTGTCATCTTTTCTGACCCTTCAAATAGGGATCGTTCATAATTGATGTCCAACATTTGAGGAGAAAAAGGCGTTATGATGCTTCCATTTGTTGATGGACGTCATTTTTGAATGAATTTTAACATGTATTTATTCAATCAATTTGATTAGATTCAAAACAATGAGCAACCTCTCACGTAGGCTTTAATTTTTTGTTGCATCGACCGCCAAATGAGAAGTGCTAATTTGGCATTTTTGTAGAAGACACTCATTTGTCACTCAAATTTATTGTCAAAATAAATGACTTTAAATTAATTAGTACATACTTTTGAAAAATCATTTGACAAATCGGTGTGAATTATTTAATTGAACTCAAACTGATCGAATCTTTTGTTACGCAATTTGGATTCAAAACAAACAACAAGCCAAATTCGTGTATGACTAACTCATTGAATCTTTTGTAATGTCCAAATTTGAATGAAAGTTTCGGAAAGTTGTATTAACAATCACGCTCCACAGTTTGGAGTCACTGCTACACTCTTTTGCGAGTTAAGCACTTGCCATAAAGTCAAGTTAAAAATTAATCAACATAATCCGACTCATTACATTTTTTGGACCAGATATGAACTAGACATCATGTCTGGTATTCCATTCAGGTTGACTAATCAAAAACTTTAACTTAATTAAAATTACATACCAGTATTCACTCCATTCGTCATAGTTCCATTGCTTTTATTGCCGTTAGCAATTCCATTTCCATTCATGTGCCCATTTGTGTATCCATTTCCGTCTGACTTGCCAATCGAGCCATTAAGTTTTGTCTCAACAACTGACATGATTCTAAGCTTCTTCTTTTAATCTGAAACGTAGAAAAAAATATTTTTCATTAATTTTAATTTCTAATTTATTCGGAATTGTGTGAGCTGTAAAAATTGGTTTTGTTAAGGAATTATTCCTAATTACATATGATCAAAGCTGCACGAATCATGAAAATTAGCAAAAATCAATCAAATTAAAATCAATTAAATTTGCTGCAAATTAGCAAGTGAGATGTAAATTGTTTAAGATTGACTATAAGCTACACGGAACTGATTTTATTTGCTCATCAATGTGAAGCACCCAAAAAAATTCAATTAAAAAGTAAAATCCCCGAAAATTGAGGAAGTCCCATGTAACGTGTTTTAAACTCGTGACATATTTAAATTGGATTTTTAAGGCGAGTCATCTTTATCAGGTTATTTCACAAAAGAATGTTTCCAGAAAGGGCAAATAAGCAGCTCTATAAAATATCAATATCCAGTCTTTCGGATGCAGTTTATTTTCTTTGAAGAATTTCATCAAAACTCTGGACGTGCTGATTATAATCCACTATTTTAAAAAGATTTACTTTAACTAGCAAGATTAATTTTAAAACTAATGTAATAATGTGAAATTTTATGCTATAAATTTGTTTAAGACCTCATTACCGAGACTTAATGCGAAAATAAACTGATTTAATGGATAATTAAGATTGTTAATTATTCTAAAGCATTTTTACACATAGCTTTAGCTTTTATAGGCATCTTAAAAAATAAAATTAATTAAAAACTAGTTTCATGTAAGGGAGCTTTACAGAATTCACACCAATCCAGGCGTAGTTCAAATACCTTTAAACGTGTTTTGTCATCTTCTTTTAAAATAAATCAGAGACATTAACATTAAAAATGCTTAAGGAACTAAGCTAATGCAAAACGTGTCTGAAAATTCGCATTTTTTTAAGTTAACATTGGTTTAAATATAGCAAATGCAGTTCTGTTTTACTTCCTTGAAGCTATAAATTTTGGAATTTTTGACTTAATTTTTGAATTTATGCATATTGATTAGTGTCAATTTGCAAAACATACTGAAATGATCAAAACATGATTCTTGCGGTAGCTATGAATAGAATTCAATGAACTTTAAAATGAAATCTAAATAAATTTATCAAAAAACTAGGGTGGGGTGTCCCGGAAAGCTCTAGAAACCGGCTCTTGATTAGCAGTTTTTAAACAAACCAAAAAATAATTTAATCTATAACATGTTAATCACACGAAAAAGCGTGAAATACGCAATAAAATAAATAACAAAAACTTAGTCTTCAAAAAAATATAAAATGATGCGAAAATTATTCAACTTTCATAATTTATTGTTAAAATCACAATGAAATGGTCTCGAAAGTTTCCGTTTCGAATTGCAAATAAAATTGGAGAAAATTATAAAAACAAATTAAAATAAAAGAAATCTCTTCATTTTTAATTCCTCTAAAAATGCTTTTGAATGCACTATAAGTTGCATAATCGACTTTTCTCTGACAAAATAAAAAAAAATACCAACTGCGTAAGTTTTAAACAATAACCTACATTGCTTTCATATGTTCAGGTCATGGACCACAAAGAAAACCAAAACAATAAAATGTTTTGAAATGAAGAAAAAATAATCGACTTGCGGTAATGGAACTTTCTCGAAATACACTTTCCATTATGTGTATAGACATATGGATATAAAATATATTTTTTTTCGGTTACACATCAGACATAAAAGTGAGTCTTACACAAAACTTTGACTTTCATTTTCACTTTTAACACTTTTTTTTTTGAACTTTGCTGGTGCATCTCCATGCCTTTTGACTTACCTTCTTTAATTGTCTGTTACAACATGAGTGAAGATATAACAAAAGTTATTGATGCTGCACTTTAATTATTTGCTTTTGTATTTTTGTTGATGAAAATTTTAAAAATGCAACTTTTCTTGTCACTTGAAATTTTATTTTTATTTTATTTCTTGCGCCGAGACTTGAATTTCACATCCGATCACCTCAACGCGAACCCAATGAATATCAGACAGAAACTTATTTTCATTTCATTCATCTCCGAAAAAAAATGTTAAGCGAAGAAATAAGTTTGCAATTTGATGAATGGCTAGTGTTGGACAATCGCGCATTTTTATGCACAGAAATGTTATTTAAGCTTTTTCAGGCTAGCTTCAGAAATTAGGGTCTGTCGTTGTGTGAGACTTTCCAACAAAAAAATAATTTTTTGACTTAGCTATATTGACTTAGGCGTAGCTCATGCTTTAATGCTGCCAAGTAAATTTTTTATTGATGGATTCTCAAACATATTCTGCTGTCGCTAAGCAGTAGTCCTCAATGAAAAATAATTTTGTGACTTTTATGGGTCTTAAACTCCCACTTTTTGGATGGACATCATAAAATTAATTTAAAAATTTACTACTGACTACGAAATCCAATTGACCTCCATGCAGACAAAATGAAGCCAATTAAATTATTTCACTATAGTTTGCATGTTAACGAGAAATAAAAAGCATTTCATTTTTGACAAAAAAAAACCCGTTTCGACTATTTATTGGTTATTAACCGAAAATTTTCATCTGTGCGAAGATATGTTTCATTTCATATCGGAGCAGTGACGTATATGCAAAAATTTCCGTTACTTTACCTTTTCTTGGATGACCATCTGTGTCAGCATTGACACCAACTTGTTTCTATTTTTGTGCTCAACCGAAGCAAATTAAAGTGAAGATGATTGACACATTTAAGTTCCTCTTATGTTGCACACGAGTATGTGTTAATTAAACAAAAGGCAACAAGAAGAAAGTGAAAGCAAGTACAATTGTAATTGTGTAGGAATGATTTTTCTCTTTTACTGATGTTATGTAAGCTGATTTAATGTTCTTTTAATGAGAAAAAAGAGAATGGAATAATTTAAAAAGATAAAAAGACAAGACATAGTCAACAGGCTTAAAGCTTCTTAATTTTTAAATTATTATTAAATGACTTTTAAGTATTGATTATGACTTTGGGCTAATTTAACTTAACATTGGAATTAAGATTAGTTCAGCTAATGTTTTCTTATGAAAAACAGTAAGGAATCATCAAAAGATTTAGCTCATTCTTAAGAAGAACTATAATTGAGGTTCATAACATGTGGATGTGATTTCTATTTAAAAAATGACAAATCTTGATCTCTGTAAGTTTAATCCATTGTTAGGAAATTACAAGAATCACGAACATAAAATAACAGACATTTGTCAACAACAAAAAAGGCATAAATGTAAATTTAGGGCTTAAACAGGTTTTCTTTGCGCATCAGTTGAATACAACCTTTATATTTGATCAAAAACTTCTCAACAAATGATGTAATAATTTTCATAAATCTGTAAGAAGAAAAGAAACTTCCAGACTCTACTATTTGATGTAACATTCGACTCATTCCAATCATGAATTTTTAGAACCCCATAAAACTTTCAAACATTGCGAATGTTCGCAACTCGATGTAATTTACATCTCAAAAAAAAAGTTACACCGATGTTCTAATCATGACATGCAGATTCTCTGCTTAACGTTAAATATCCAATTTATATTCCATCTTCTTACCTTGATTTTTCTTTCTAACGCGTTCAGAATACTTTGATGTTAAGAATGCTTTTAAAAGATGTACAAAAAGCTTTTCTGGATATGCGAAGCTTTAAATTTTTTTTTTATGTAAATTGATCAAATTGCCAGATAATGTTATAAAAATTCTATGGAGGGTGGAAATATTTTCCTACGGGAACCAATTGTGGGCATATTTTTCTAATGTAATTTTAATATCTTTGAATACGTCATCAATTAGATTAAGGCAGTCCCTTATTATCAGAAAATTCTTAAAGTTAAGAAAAATCCACTGTATACTTTTTATTACAGCAACGCCATTACCTAGATCAATATACTAAATATTGTGTATATGTATTGGAACTAGAAGTATTTCAAGGCGTATTATGTTTTGAAACCTAAAATATTGATGGTCATGATATGTAAATATTTAAAGTTACGTCTCTACTGTATGGCGTGATAATAGACTAAGCTAAAATAATTGTATTGAATCGTAAATCCACGCTATCAATCATATAAATCAATTCTATTTTATTAAGCGAATATAATTCACAACATTACATCAATTGTCCATATGGGTCTTCCTATAACTGCCACATGTGTATACTAATATAAAACAAGTCGGGTTCAATCGGAATCGAAACCCACGACCTAAAAAGAGGCAATCTCTGACCACTCGATCACAGATCTCTGCCACTCAGCCACTGAGGTACTTATCCCTGTACTTATCTCACTTTGGCTATCCGTCATACACATATAACCTATTCAACGCAAGCCCTATACGCAGGCCTATGTACTACAAATATTCACAGTCCAAATGAAAGAAGAGAATTAGGTTGTCGGGTCTTTAGACTAGCTTTCTTTGCCACTTTAAGTATAAAAAAATGGATTGCAATGAACTCTTCATGGATGGTAATTATTTGTTTTAATTTTATCCATAAACTAAGTAAGTATGTATCGTCATGCACGTACGCATTACTCTCAATCTTAATTCTGTTTCTAAGCTGATCATTACAGCATCTCTCTTCCATTTTTCCTCAAATAATTTGTAGCAACAAGCACCAGGAACCAGGAACTGACATTGACAGTTCTGCATTTACTGGTGCTTGTTGCTACAAATTCTACAGACAAATCTCAAAGATATTTTGTGAAGGTAATATCGTGACCCTTACTTTTAATAAGATATTCAAGTGACTCTGAACAAGTTTCAAATTACTTTCTATAATTTTTAATTTTTCTCAAATACCTTTTTAAAAGTTAAACCTCTAAAGATTCTTTTCACTTCAAAATAATTCTTTGAGAACTTAAAAAATCCTTCAAATTAATAAGAGACTTCAACTCTTTCAAAATCCTTAACAAAGTTTCGTTTATAATACACCTGATCGAAATTTTAATAACAATTTTACCCCTGCGTGAGATTACTCACGTATTCTCTTAACAGAACATCATTCTCAAGTTTCTAAGCTTTTGTTTTCTTATTCAAAAAAGCACTTGAAAGGATTTTTTTTTTTGTAAAAACAGCGAACGTAAAATGCGTCAAATAATATTTTAATATAAGTTATGAGAATGCTTTACCTGAATATTAACGAAGAATAATTTTCATAATTTTATTAGATATGAAATAATCTCAAAAGACGATGCTCATTCGCTGCGTGATGCTGCTTTACACGAGAGCTTTTGAGAGTCATTTTCGATTAAGTTTGTTGTAGTGCTTATTATTTGACACTCGACGCTTTTTTGAAAGCTAATATTTAAGCTTTTTATAAGTTTTCTTTGTAAACATCTCTCAAGTTTCTTTCATTAAAAGCTAATTAAGCTGCAGCTTCAATTTACAGGATACGTGACTCGAAAAAGGGCGATTTGAAAAATTTCCTTTGGTGAGGTTTGAACCCTTGATTGCTATGTAGTATCGCAATAATTAGATACCTATGTACTTAATCGTTCTGCTATCGAGTCACTGTCAGCTTACTAGTGACTTTTGATAAGTCATCATGAAATTTAATTTTTATCCTTTTTCCACTCCATTACTCTCTTGACGTATTGATGTTGCTGAGGAGAAAAAAAAATCGAGGTTTGTGCGACCGTACGGTAGATAAAAATACATTGACCAGCAAATAAAAAACCATAAATTGAATTTTTGAGTTTATTTTATCATTGCATTAATTTCTGTTCATAATTTGTGGGTTTATGTTCCGTTCGGATATCCACACAACTACAAATGAAGAATTTTCTGTTTTCTAATTCTATCCCTAGTCAATTTTATAAGGACTGCATTGAATATATGCAGGTGAATGGAAGAAATTTGTTTCAATTAGTTAATGGATATATCCGCTTGTATGTTCGTTTACATAAATGCATGCAGTTGCTGTTGATAATTTAATATATCATAAACATATGGACAGTTGTTGAGTGATCGATACAAATAATTTAGATTGCATATTTTGTTACACAATTTCATTAATTATTTATCTAGTATTAAATTACGTTGTCTTGTGTCATTGTGCTGATGTAATATGAACTGAAAGTCTTATTATTATTATACTCAATAATTTATTATTATTGATCTAATGTCGGATGTTCACTTATCTTAAGCTTCATAATAAATAAATGTTATATTATTTTTTTAGTGGGACTAAGGACTTAGCCTCTTTATATAGAAATTTTGCTGAGCAATGTTGATGCATAATCTGGATTAAATTCGTTCTTTCATAGCTTGAAACAGCAAACTTCAAATCCTTGGTGTTATTTTAAAATTGAATGGCTTTGCTGATCTCAAAAAGAATTGTGTTTTCTGCAACTCGGGCATGTCACCAAAATCCTCCTTATTATTATATTCCACTGAAAATTTCCACAATACACTAGCGAGTCCAATTTTAGCTTGCATTTTTCCCATTCGTTCGCCAATGCAATGTCTAAGCCATGAAATGGATAAAGATATTTTAGTAAAACGATATTTATAGGGCATCCCAAATGAAAATTTCAAATGCCACATCACAAAATGACATGACTTTTTTTTCGTAACAGTCATTTGTCAACATACAAACCTCGGACCGTCTCCAAATGGTAAATAAAATCCTCCGTTCGCCTTTCCATTTCCTGTTGGTGAATCCATAAATCTCTCGGGAGTAAATTCCAATGGATTTTCGAAAATTTCTGCATCACGTTGTATTGCTATGGCCGGAATATAAACGGATGTTCCCTTCTCAATTATTAAATCTGTATCTGGCATTTTGTAGTCCTTAGTACATGTGCGGAACAAAATAGATAGTGGTGGATAAAGTCTCAATGTTTCGTTGATGCAGCACTCGAGATATTTTAAATTATTAAACATCTCGTAAGTTACATCATCAAAGTTTGTACTAGCACCAAACACATTATCTAGTTCTTCCTGAATTTTCTTTTGAATATCTGGACGACGACACAACTCGAATAGACAAAATGACATCGTTGCTGTTGATGTCTCAAAACCTGGAATTTAAAATAATACAAAGTTAAAGATGTACAATGAAATTAACTGTAAATCCTTTAAGGTCGTCAACTAATCTATTTAATTTTTGTACTTTTACATCTGACAAACTTGTCCTACTTACCGCCAACAAAAAACACATGAACTTGTGCAGCGATTTCATCCATCGTTAATTTCTTCATAATGTTAATATTTTCACTTCTAGTTTTATCGCCATTCTGCTCTACTTCCTCATTCTTCTTAGTTAATATGTATCCTTGATTTTTCAACTGAATCAGCAATTGCAGAAAATCATTTCCTTGAAATTTCGTATCCTCACGATGCTTTACAATTTTAGCAACAAAATTCATAACAAAGTCATTAACATTAGCTGTGACTGATCTAAAATTAAATATCGAAATTGCATGCAGTATGTTTGGCACTAAGAATGAGAAAATGTCCATAATATGTTGTCTCTTTGATGGTTCCGAGAAGTTTGCACTTATTTTTCTAAAAACATTGTCTGGATCATCAAATGTGTCACTATCAATGCTGAAGATGACTGTCACAATGTTATGCGTTGTGTATTTGGCAAACAAATCAATAAAGTTAAAAACGTTTTTTCCATTTGAATTATTTTTGAGCATAAAGTCTCGCAGTGTTTTTCCACAGCCTCTCATAATCGGAAACATTCCTTTTAACTTTCCACTTGTAAAAGTTGGAGAAAGTTTAAATCTCAATTCTCTCCATTTCTGTCCACCAATATTAAAGAGATGTGTTGATATTGGATCTCGAACTTCATCAACAAATCTAGGGCGATCTGTAAAGCTACTGAAGTTACTCACTAGAATATCTTGCACTACTTCTGGATCATTCACAAATAAAATTGGTTTATAAGTGAAGTAGCATCCAATGTACTTATGATGCTTATACTTTTCATAGAGGTCAATGAAACAATTTGAAAAACTCTTTCGGAAGAAGAACAAGTCACTGATATTTCCTAATAACCACATTGGACTGTCCATCTGACAAAATCCATGTCGCTTCCAGTAAGTAAAATAATAATGGTTCAGTAAGTAAACTATTAGAATCACCAAACAAGTTAAAAGTAAAACTTCCATCGCGAACCACCTTTGAACATCAACTGAAGAGCTACAAGAAGAGAAAGAAGAGATTGAGCTCTTGGTATCAAAAATAAACTGTGAATCTCGTTCACAGACATTAAAGTCGTAAAAAAAACTTGTTTGTGGTTTTAAGAAATTTCTTCTGGTCACACATGCATTGGATGTAAAGTTAATTTGAATACGAGTCAAGCAATTATTAGCACCGAATGAGTAGAAACTCAAGTTAATTTAAATAATACTTTCGGTGAATCTTAATCTACAGTTTACGTTTATTTTGTTAATATGATAAGAAATTATGATAATATGGATAATATTAAATTATGAACGTTCGGGGGGGTTGTGAGTTGTAACATATTGTAACAAGGGGGGGGGGGGGGAGGGGGGGTGGTGAAAAAAGTCGTTTTTTCCGTAACGTAATAAGTGAACGGCCCCTATGTGGATTATGTGTCATCACTTATGCTATATATTTTTCTAGATGGAAAGAGATCACGTGGAAGACCAAAGAACTCATGGGAAGAGGATTTTGATAGAGACAGTGTTGCATTTGGAATCGGCAATTGGCAGACGGTAGCCAGAGATAGAGCTAGTTTTAGGGAACGGCTGGATCACAATTGATCTGTACGACCAGCGAAGTAAGTAAGGAAGTACTTATGTTATAGGTTTAAAAAATCACTTCTTATTTTTAAACTAATCTTCTTGATTATGCAACTTACAGTTTGTGAAAAATAATGAGAAGTTGCACTCTAATCTGCGTCGTAATTAATATTCCAAGCAGGGGATGTGTTCTTTGCTCATTATTTTATTAATAATTTTCAATAAATTTTGAATCACAAAGTTGAAATAAATAACGGGAATTGATTTAAGTTCTAGCTTCATATTTATAATTTTCTTAAGAATAGCTGTACACAGCAGGTAAATATCATCAAATAAGATGTACATTTTACTACCAAATACCACAGTTATATTAATATCACTATCAGTATGACTCATTTAATATGCTAATAAAATCAATTAAGTCACTGACTCATCCTATAATATACAACATTTGTTCCGCTATTCTCATGTTTTACTTTCTATATTCATGTCAAAATACACGAATGTGCTTGAAAATAAAAGACTCATAAATTATTGATATCAGTGATAGTGTCTATTGATTTATTGAAATGAAATCGAAACTTTAACAATAAAACACGCACAGTCAAGTGTCATACAGTCGTAATTAAAAATAATATGAACAACAACTTCAGATTGCTGCGAATAAAACAAAGCTTAAGATTTATTCCATTTTGAGGATAGCAAAAATTGAATCTCACGTGAAGATGGATTTATTACCAATGGTTTTACTTCCTGCAGATATCTTCTGAAAGCCATTTTTCTTTTTCCCCATTGCATTGGATTTTGGTCCTCATATTTGCCACAAAACCATCAAGATGATGATTTATGATTGAAACGTGAAAATGAGGAAAAGAATCTGCAATCAATTTTGAGACGAAAACGAAGAAAATCATAAAAATCTTTCCTTATTTGAGCCACAACAAAAACATTTCTGTAATTTTATGATGATGATGATTGAATTCATGAATTATGAACTGACTGACCGACAGTTGACTTACCATTATTTTTTTCTGCTGCATTTCCATTTGCACAGTTGAAAAACTCTGTCACAATAAAAGTTGCAATGATGAAAAAATCGATACAGAAAAAAACATCAACTTCGACGCCAGACATAAAAGAGGAAAATAATAAAAAAGAATCTTGTTTTATGCGAATTAAGTTAATCCGGATCATGAATGAAGTCACGTGCAATATAAATGGATGAAATAGAGTAGAATTAAAAGACTGTGACAATAGTTCGGAAACATTTTTACGTCATCACGAATTGACACAGGAAGAAGTTCATAGTTGAAAATCTAATGAAAATCAGTTTTGTAATAAATATATCCCATCTATATTTCTATTACAATCTGCTGACTAAATTCAATCTGAAATCAATCAACGAAATGAGATGATGATGATAAAAAATATGAAAATTGATCCGAATTATTGGCGACAGAATAACAATAAGCAAACACTAAGAAGAAGCTGAATCTGAATTGTGACGTTGTTTGTTTTAGGAAAAGCTCTTGCCTTTACGTTCTTCATCATCTTTTTATGATGATAACAAATTATGAAATTATTTTGATAATGATGGTTTTGTGTTGATATTGGATTAGTAATGTTGATTTATCAATATTGAACAGAAATTTACAACTTAGTCCTTAGAAAAATAATTTTATGTCCTGATTCTTGCCTTAAGTCAGTGCTGTGCAGACCAAATGTGATCCATAGCTGTGTATTTATGCTTTAAGAGAATCTGGCACGTAGCCAGGAAGGTATTGTCCCCCTCTTAAGCGTTTTAGGCCGTGCTCTCGCTGAAGTTCAAAACTTTTAAGGGGGGACAAGACTCTCATGGCTACGCGCCTGATGAGACCAATAATAGTCCAAAGAGTGATGGTGCTTCAAACCAAAGTTCTTAATCCTAAACCTTCAGATTAAAGATAAATTCGAATTACTCTTTTTATGGCAATACTGTCTGTAGCTCTTTAACTGAGGCTTTAGCTTCATTTAGTCTATAAAGTACTAAAGTAAATGCAAAAAAGCTTCCATGATGCAATGATGACTTCATAAAGTACATAAAGATTTTAAAAACAAACCACTCAAGATATTCAACTTTACATATTCGAATATTCAACATCAATTTACATGCAAATGTCTTATCATAAGCTTAATTATCATCATTCCATCATATACTCCTAATCTGTTTCACATTTTTCATTATTTCCACCTTTGAAGCCAATTACGAATAAAATTACATTTTTTTTTCAGAAACATGATAAAGTCTATATAGACTGAAAAAAAGTACATCAAAGAGGATCAAAAAAGCTTTTGTTAAAAATAAAAAGCTTTTCATTTGATATCAAATTTTCTCATTCAGCAATTTAATTTCCATGAGAAAAAAATTTTCATCAGGAGATGAAAGAGCGCGTCGATTGGCAGTTTTCAATTTCACGGATGTTGTGGTCTTTACAAAAGCATTTTTTCATTATCATCACCGTCATGAAAAAGCTTTTTATTTGAACTTTTTTTTCTAATTTTCATCATCGCTGTTTTAAGCTCAATTTTTTCCATGCCTGCATCTGACCTGATTTTTATTTTTTGAAGATTATAATCTCAATTCCATCAGCATCGTCTGAAGTTTTTATGAGTTTGCTAGAATGTAGGAGCAGGTTCATTTCCGCCTATCATTCATCAAGTCAAAACCAGAAAATGGAAGTGGATAAAAATACATCAAAAAGGAAAGCTTATCGTGGAAAATCTTTAATTTGATTTTTAGAAATTTCCACTTAATTTTCTTCAATTGCTATTTTTTTGATACATTCTAAGTCACGTATGTAGGAAGTGCTCAATAATCGATCTCATTCTTTCTAAAATGTTTTTAATTCGTATTTTGTGTTTTCTTTTCAGTTTTTTTATCAATGTTGTGGTTTATTATGAGTCTCCGATCAGCACATGTTGAAAGGTTATCCATACGTAAGTTTTTCAGACAGTAAACTTCGAACCAATCATTTATTGGTTTGAAAAGACAGTCAGTGGTATGATTTAGTGTTTATCAAATTATTTTTGGCGGCACACTCCTAGTCTGGTATCTTCACAGCTTTTTTTTGATGCAGACTTAGCATTCACCATGTAATTTTATCTATGCAGATATTCTGAATCAAGTATTTGTGAATGTCAATTTTCACACAATAATTGCCAGGAATGTTCTTATACGTGATGTTTTGCTTGATAAATTATTGATTTGTACGTGATTAATTGATTCTCATCTTATTTTTCATGAACATGTAGTTTTTGAAGGTGTCTACAAGCTTATATTGAGAATGGAATTATTAATGTTGTAAACCTGATTGCATGTAAAGAACACATTTTTCAAATCTAAAAAAAAAATATTGTATATTTGTTCATTAATTGGTAAAGATTTGGACTACAAAAATCTCTTCTCTGGGTTCACTCTTGAGTAGCACTGCTGAAATGGCTCTTGATAGAGAAGTCTTTGGCACAATCTCTAAAATGTGAAATCAATGAAAGCTCAGCATCATCAAAGTCTTATTTCTGTGCATTTGAAATTACTTCTATAGCTCTTTGCTGCATTTATAGATCAAATTGATCGAAGTCTCAATATCAAGTTCAAAAATTGCTCAATCAACAGCCTGCTTCAATGAGTTATTTGACTTGAAATATCCTGAAAACATTTTAATTGAATATTAGCAAAATCACTTCAAAACAATTCATGTCAAAACAACAATTTGATCAATAATCAGTGGATCAGCTCTACATTTTTGCTTCCTTGCTTCCCTTTTTTGCATTCTTGTAATTTACGTCTTTACATTAAAACTTTAGATTTTCAACTGATTTTGTTTCTTTTCAATGATTACTCAGATCGTTTAATTTGCAAATTCCTTGCTACGCTTCTGCTTCACAAACAATGTTTTTGTCAAAACAAAATGAAACAAGCACATAAAATTTTATTATAGAGACAAAAAAAGAGAATTGAGGCAGACAAAAACCACAAGCTGTCGATAATTTTTTTTAATTTAATTTAATGAAGTTGAACAAAAAATGTGATTTGGCAATTTTTGCAATAATAACAACAAAGGCATAAAAGCATTATCGGCATTAAAAAGGGGTTGAAAGAAGGGAAAGCAGAATTTAAGTTATTGCAGAGAAAAAAATGAAAATTTATGAAATGTTTACGGAAACTTCAAAAGCAGAAAGAATTCGATTTTATGCCTTTTTCATTGAGAATCAAAACAAAACATAAAAAATAAAGCAGAAGAATTTTTCGACCCTTCATTACTTCTGTTTTGCCACTGTTGTATCTTTTATCAATCATGATGCAACATTTGAGGATTTTCGTATGTAGAGGGGTTGGAAAAGTGAACTGCTGCAATGTCTCTCATGTGCGAGGGGTTGTTATGATGCAATATCTAAAACTGATGAATGTTGAGCCTGCCATTTATCTATTCTTTTGCCTCCTGCATCAAACTTACAATAGTTTTAACAATTGCAGACTTGCTGAACACTTGCAGAAATTCACTCCGAGATTTTTTTATTGTTACAATAACAATAAATCACCCACAAATGATTTTCTCGTTTCAAATTGTATTTTTATCTCCATCTCTCTCATCCTCCTGTCACTTGTTCAA